GACTGGATGGCAGCACTGCAATGCCCAGGGGTGCAGTAGGCAACCAGAGCCCAGCTCTCAGCACAGCAGGACTCCTGCCCCTAAGTGTGATTCAGCACAGTTACCCTAAGACTGTCACTTAAGGACATGGCGTGTAGCAAATACCGCTTGCAAACATTCTTCTCTGTAATTCCTGACTTGTCAGCTACGGTGTAGCTTCTTTGCAACCAACTCACCTGTCATTTATATACACTGCTCCCATTTGGTCGCTATTAGCTTAGCTCTTCAGACTGCCCACTGCCTCCCTCTCCCTGTAACTATCTGAATTGCACGTGACATGGAAACTACACAGCCTGATCTTGCAAACCCTGGTACAGAACGACAGCAGTGGCGAGAATCTGGAACTTCCTGCTCTCCTGCTCACACCACTGCCTCGGGCACAAGCTAGTCTGAGTAGATGAACAAAGTAAAAGCTCTGGCAGCCCAATAAATACCTCTCTACTTCCAGTGTACTCTTCTTTATTGTCTTCTTTACCAAGGTGTAAACACCCCATAGAATTTCAAATGTGTAGATACAATTCTCCCTTGCAGTCCCAGTCTCTCGAATAGTCCATAACCCATAACTCTTAAGTGTTAGATGAAGCATCAAATGGAAGGCAATGACTGTGTGTAAGGAGCAGATATCAGATTCTACTTACTCTTGTATTTTATATTCAAAATTGACTTTATTTCCTGAACAGATACTTCTTCACAGAGGCCAAAGGAAAAGGAAAGGACTGAATTCATGCACTGTGACTTCATACTCCAGGCCTTAATCTGTTTGTATGTATGCGATCAAGTCAAATATTAAATTAAAGGATGGTTGTTAAGGCCCATGTACACTGTAACATAGAAACATCCCAGGGAAATGACTGTTTTGCATGTACAGATGTCTCTGCCAAGTTCCATTAAGTTGGCATGTGAGCCTATCCAGACAGATACTTAAGGTGCCTAAACTAAACATAATTGTATTAGGGAGGAGATTTCTTTTTCTCTCTCCTTCTGGAGGATGGTACATAGTTAGACTGTATAAATGAGAAGTTTATTAAATATATAAATATAGGTTTTCCATTGTTGACATGGAGGTGGACAAAAAGGAAGACCCATCCACAGCTGGTGGGACTTCAATTTGATACAGCCCTATGGAAAATGGCATGGAATTTCTTTACAAAATAAGAACAGACATCTAAAATGATCCAGCTACCTCTGCTAATCACTCAAAGAATGTGAAAGCTCTAATGAAAAAAGACTTAAACATTTCTGTGTTCATATCAGCACTGTCCACAATTGCCAAGTCATGGAACCAACCTAAGTGCCCAACAAAAGATGACTGAATAAAGAATATGTGGGATATATGCTCAATGGAATACTACACAGATGTTAAAAAGATGAAACCTTGCTTTTGGATGGACTTCCGGGTGACTGTGTTAAACGGAAAAAATCAGAAAGTGAAAGATAGATATTAAATAGTATCTTTTATCTGTGGAGTGCAAACAAAAAAACATGCACTAGCAAAATGAATCTTAGACTTAGCAAAAATTTTACTGGTTGTCAGAGGAAACAGGAAGGGGGGAGGAAAAAGGAAGTACATGGGGAACTGGCATAGGAGGCTTGGTGGAGGGGTTTTTGAAACATGTGCACATATGGAAGAGTAAAATTAGAATCCAAAATTATAACTAAAAGAAAGTAAAAAGAAAAATAAATACAGGTAGCTAATGGTGAGGGTGATTATATAGGACCACATTTTCTTATTTTACTTACTAAGATTAGATAGGGTTAGAATGTAGAATTTCTTAGATTTTATAAAGATAATACAATATATGTATCACATGTTATCCATTTCACCCATGGGGAGAACCCAAACACCTTTAGGAAAAAGTGTAAAATTCCCACTAAACGCAATCCATATAAACTATGCAAGGACTTACATTAATGCAGATCAAACTTTGTCACAATCAGTTCAGATCAGATCAGATTTTACTACTAAGTGACTGTCTAAAAATCTTAACTGAGTTAGAATTTCAGAAAGGTTAAAAACATACAGAAACTAAACAAGAGGGGTAGTGATAGGCAGAAAATTCCCAAGATATTCACATCCTAATAGTTCCCAAGATATTCACCCCAAGAATAGTTGAGTCTTGCTAAGATGAAAGGAAGATTGCTAATGAAATAACATTTAAATAGGGATATTATCCTGGTATATCTGGGTGGGCCCAATACAACCATAGGATTCCTTAAAAGTGAAAGGTTAGGGCCCTCCCTGGTGGCGCAGTGGGTTAAAGCACAGCACTAAAAAGCTTAAGCCACTTCCGCATGAGTTCGATCCCCGCCTGCCCCGGAGGGGACCACATGGCATGGCAGACCTCTCCTGGCACGCCCGCTGCTCCCCTCAGCAGTGTACTTTGTTGATCTGCCTGTTCTGCTCCCCACTCTGTCTCTGGTGAAGCCTCTCACCGCCCCTGAGCCTCTGGCCTGTACCCCAGTTCTGTATGCACAAATAAATAAATCTTAAAAAAAAAATGCTGGTACAAAATCAATATACAAAGATCAGTGGTGTTTATATACAACAGCTGTCAGAAAAAGAAATAAACAATCACATTTATAATAGCACCGAAAGGTTAAAGTATCTAGGAATAAAATTAAACAAAGAGGTGTATTCCCCGAGCATCAGCTAACTCTTGTTTCTGCTCATGTGTAGACTTCTGACAACATCGTGAGGTTATAATCACCCTGAGCTTAATTAGAAAGTGGACGAGTAACAAGGAATGTGTCCAGTCCTTTTAGGCAATTTAACTGAAACTCACTCAAATATAACGTCCTCTGAGAATTGCAAGATATGAAAATTGGAACTCGGTAGTCTCACGGGCACTGAATTTGGCTTGTTTTAACAAAATTCTGATTGAGCCATGAAAAAAAGGATAGATTTCTTTCCTCTACTGCTACCAAGGAATCTGGACACCAAAGTGTGTGTGTTTGTGTGTGCATATCTTGGTAACTTTTTAATAACTCCCATTGAAACTCTGTCATTAACAGCTGACTTAGACCTTTGACTTCCAATTCCTGCTTCAGGACTATTCCCTTTGAAATTCGTATATTAAGCCTCAGATTAGAGGATTTGTTCATAAGGCAGGGACACTGGAGGATGTGATTCTTCGAGTCTGCCCTGTTTTGGAAGAGGAACAAAGTCACTAAGATACTTATTCTTCCAAAGGTTTTACCTTCAGAAACAACATTTTGATGAATTAATGACACCAGAAGTCTGCTTCTTACTGTGGTGGGTTATAATTTGCAGTTGGAGTTTCGGGTTCACAGAAATGAGGTCGAAACATCAAACTTCTAGTTTGGGTTACGTTTTGAGCGATGAATAGAGGGACAAATGACTGTGTCTAAATGCTTTGATATTTTCCAGGTACAGCAAAGGCTTCAAACCCAAGACAGTCTGCTCCGTGACAGAAACAAAACAAAGGTGGGCCTGAACAATTAAAAAAAGGATCTGGCACAAAGAAGCCAAAACGTAGGCTGTGTGGAGTGAGACTAGGCCACAGCGAAGTGTTACGACACTTGAAACTGCTTCTTGGTGATGCCGCCTCAGGCTGAAGTCAATGAAAACTGAATTCTCAGAGCTTCATCTTCACAAAAGAATCAGCTTCTTTTGTCCTGTTTCCTCCATGTTTTCTTTTCCTTCAATCAAGCCTAGACTTATAACATATTTCATATGAAGTTAACATTCAAACTTACTAAAGTATGTTGGTGAAAACAAAATAAATCAATCTTTCATTCTTCCTGACACAATAGTAAGCCCTCAGAAGACACAGCTGTTGTTACTCAGGAATCTCCTGCCAACTCCTGACCCTCCCAAGCCACCTGTATTCTCTCCAGACACATTTGCACCTTCACGCAACTCCCCTCCACCGATTTCCACAAGCACCCACTTCTGTCACCTAGGCTCTGGCTCCGTGGAGGTGTATACATTTGAAGATGACACTGTTTACATCTAAGCCCAAGGAGGAAAAAATAACCACTGGAAAATGTCCTAAGAAGGATCAAAAGAGCTTATAAAAGGCAAAACAGTGCTTCTCCTTACTGTATGGTCCTTCTGTTTTCTTAACTTTGATCCCAAAACCAGAAGGTAGAGGAGAGTGTGGCGGGTCTTCTGTGACAGCTCTCTGAAGCAGGACCCCCTCTCGGCACGCAAGGGGCACAGGTAACCATGTGCTAGAGACCTGGTGCAGAACATTCTGGCTGCAGTTAACAGTGTTGTCCTGTGTTCCTAACATTTTTATGTCTAATTTTTAAGTTCTTAGCCTAATTTTAAGATGTGATATTTCTTTGGGACTGGAATTTGCACTGTTTCAATCTATTTCTCAACAGATAACTTAAAATCGTCTTTAAAGAATATTGAACAAATAAGGTGAGTCATGTAAAGCTCTCACAATGACGAGCTACCTAGACGTATTACAGGCTGAGATTTTTAAAAAGTAGATAAAACAGACAAGAGAAAGGACTGGCTCACACCTCAGCAACAGTGGATAATAACAGATATCTTTTTCAAAAGACAAGCTTCCTTAATCGTAGCGAGCATGAATATGAAAGTTGTAGACTTTAAATCTATGATGGCTAGAATCATGTATGCTTCAGAAAGCTTTTGATATTTAAAAAAAAATTTTTAAAGGAAAAAAATTAAACTTGAAAGCTAAAATGAGGTAATGAAAGTATACTATGTAAATGTCACTGAATGCAGCTGCTCACGCTTCTGAAAAATAGTTTCACAGGAAAAAATTTATTGAATGTCTTCGTATGTGATCGTGTGGCGTAATCAAAGTGGCTGCAATTTTAAAAATCTGAACTCAACTAATTGCAAACACACAGCCATGTGGATGAGACTCTGAATTGTATTCTTAATGCGGGGGGGGGGGGAATAAAAAAAATAACCACTGCTTGCCTATGCAGTAGCTTGAAGCAAGAGAGAAAAAGATGATTCCATGGAGCTAAGAAACTACACCAGGATCAAAGAATTTCTTTTCCTTGGCCTAACCCAGAATGGAGAACTAAGTTCGGTCCTGTTTCTCTTCCTGCTGCTGGTGTACCTCGTGACCCTGCTGGGAAACGTCCTCATCTTGATCACCGTGAGCTGCGAATCTCGCCTCCACACGCCCATGTATTTTTTGCTCCGTAATTTATCCATCGCCGACATCTGCTTCTCCACCGTCACCACTCCCAAGGCTCTGGTAGACCTTCTGTCCCAGAGAAAGACCATCTCCTTCGACGGCTGCTTCACCCAGATGTTCTTCTTCCACCTCATTGGCGGGGTGGATGTGATCTCCTTGTCGGTGATGGCATTAGACCGCTACGTGGCCATCGCCAAGCCCCTGCACTATGTCACCATCATGAGCCGGGACCGGTGCCTGGGGCTGATCGCTGGGTCCTGGCTGGGGGGCTTCACCCACTCCATCGTACAGATTTCCCTTCTGCTGCGCACCCCCTTCTGTGGCCCCAACGTTCTGGACACTTTCTACTGTGACGTGCCACAGGTCCTGAAGCTGGCCTGCACGGACATCTTTGTCATCGAGCTCCTCATGATTTCCAACAATGGCCTGCTCACGACGCTCTGGTTCCTCCTCCTCCTGGCGTCCTACGCGGTCATCCTGGCCTTACTGAGGTCGCAGGCCGGGGAGGGCAGGAGGAAAGCCGTCTCCACCTGCACCGCCCACATCACGGTGGTCACCCTGCACTTCGTGCCCTGCATCTATGTCTATGCGCGGCCCTTTGCTGCCCTCCCCTCTGACAAGGTCATCTCCGTCACCTACACGGTCATCTCCCCGCTGCTGAACCCTGTGATCTACACCCTGAGGAACCAGGAGATGAAGTCAGCCATGAGGCGGCTCTGGAAGGCACTCAGACCTTCTGAGGGGGGATAGAGGGGGTCGTGAGGTGTTCCTCACCACCTTGTGAATGTTGGTCCATCCAACCAACTGTTCAATCAGGGATTCTTTTTAAATATTTATTTATTTATGCATACAGAATTGGGGTACAGGCCAGAGGTGCAGGGGTGGTGAGAGGCTTCACCAGAGACAGAGTGGGGAGCAGAACAGGTACAATGCTGAGGGGAGCAGCCGGTGGGTCAGTAGAGTTCTGCCATGCCATGTGGGTCACCTCTGGGGCAGGGATCGAACTCATGCTGAAGAGGCTTCTTAGTGCTGTGCTTTAATCTGCTGCGCCACCAGGGAGGGCCCTCAATCAAGGCTTTTAATGAGGTCCTGTATTTCTTCTATAAGAGGCATGTGTTTTCAAGGGTCTGATCAGCATGTAAAAATAATGTGAAAAGGTTCCACATGACAAAAGGAAGCCAAACATCACTGTTGGCTGGACTGGTGTATATTGGCAATACTACCTTGGAAGAAAAACAGAAAATGGAACCAAATTTTACTCAATTTTACCCCAATGCAGTTATTTTTTTTTCTAGGCCTATTCAGGTCAAAGTACATGATAAAAGTACTTTTACATATTTAAGATGTACAGGGATGTTTTGATACATTTATGTTTTGAGATGGTTATTGGGAAAACGGGGTTAAGTATGGTATTTCTCTGTGTCATTTCTTATAACTACCCGTGAAACAACCGCTGTCTAAATAATATCAATCAAGAAACAAAAATAGACATTCCCACACATCTGTTCTGTTGCCTTGAAAAGAGATGAGACTCATACTAGAACATACTGCGGCTTAGGCCTTGGGATTAAGGCATTTCTTTCATGAATTCATCACACCTCCATCAAGTAAACACACCCAAAGTGAGCACCTCTTCTGATTCTATAATGGGAACAATTTAAATAATCATCACCTGAAGATTTTTCCATCTAAAAACCACACTCCAGGGTGCTTCCTGGTGGCGCAACTAGTTAAAGCACAGCACTATGCACTGCAGCTCGAGTTCGATCCCCGGCCAAGAAGGTGACCCACATGGCACAGCAGACCGCTGCTGTCTCGCCCGCTGCTCTCCTCTGAGGTGGATTTCAGCAGATCTACCTGTTCTATTCCCCACTCTGTCTCACCTGCACCTCTGGTCTGTACCCCAGTTCTTGTATGCATAAAAAAAATAAATCTTAAAAAAAAAAAAAACAAAGGGATCTTGCCAATTCCAAGTTCTGTGAGGTTGAGCAACAACCAAGAAAGATTACTCATAACCTGAGGCTTCATACATGACACTGAGAGAGCAAATGGAGTTCTTTGGTTTGAGGGCCTCTGACACCATCGGGCCTGGAATCTGCTATATAAGTAGCCTCAATAAATCGTTCACAATTAATTCATTGGTGAATGCATAGTCCATTGGTGAATGCATCCTTTGCTGTCTCATCTCTCCGCATGAGAAATTTGATTTAAAACAAGAAGGAAGCTCATTTTTTGGTTTACCATGCTTCTGAGTGTGTCAGTTACTAACACAACAAACAAACATTTTCTGCTTAAGAAAATAATAATGCAAAGGACTGAACCACTCTATTGGGAATTCTGGGCCTTTTCCCTGAGTTCCTGCTCTTCAGGAGACAGACGCCTGCTTGTCCCCTATGAGCCCTTCCAACATCACAGGCCCCTGATCACAAGGTCTATGAGGGTTCAGCGCCTCCCTTTTACATTAGGAGAATTTGTAAACCAAAATGTGAGTGCTACCACTGGCTTGTAGTGCACGATTGACTTGTTAATGACACTCAAGGGAGCTTCATCCCAACAGGAAAGCTTGGCTACTCCAGTCAACAGTCACAACCAAAAGCATTGCCCTCGGTGATCCTTCCAACTCAGATCTGGGGCTGAGGCCCCACGCTCCCTGTAGCAGGACCCCAGCAAATGTAGGAGGATGCAGGAGCCTGGCCTTAGCCCCGGGTCCTGGGAGAGAAGCTACTGAAGCAGCCAACCCTCACTGCGTGTCTGCCTTCAGGGGAACATCCCTTACAAGAGTGACATCGAAGGTCAGTCTGTGCCACCAAAGGGCCACTTCTACCTCGTGGGTAGGGACTCGAAGGGGGGAACTTGAAGAGAGAGCATGCTGCATGTGGGCGATTCTTGGAGTGTGTTATATATCTGACTGCATGAGCCTCTGTAGCACCCACTCTGGAGTAAGACGCAGGTTTCAGAAAGGTTCTGAATGTTAACAATGTTCCTGAAAGGTTGAGCGTGGTGTCTATAAAAGCGAGTCTTTCATGACGCAGAATGGCATTGTCGCCTCTTCAAAATTAAGAAGGTGGCTTGAAAGACATCGAAAGAAGGTCAGTTTCTTTGAGAGGCGGAGCAACATTGAGGGACAATGAGATTGGGTCCCTCAAATTGGAGACCATACATATTAATAAACCTGTTTTGTTGATGGCTTTCCTTGTGCGTACTTCCAAAGAAGCACTTGGGGGTCTTGAGTTTGGTCTTGCCAAAAACAAAAATAAACTTATAAACACTCTCTGTTTTCTTCTTTTTTCCCCAAATATACATATAACACCCAGGGAGTCTCACTGGCCCCATCTCCCTCTCCTGTCTCCTAGTTCTGTATTCATGTGCTCAGAAGAGCACAAACACAGCATTTTCAGTAGAATTGGTGATATTATCACTGCTTCATGCACTTGGGTTTCGAAGCCTCTTCATAACTGTTACCCTAAATTGCCCCCGGGAAGCCCTGTTCTCAACAGTTCTTCCTGCCAATACCAATAACACACAATTAACTACCAGGAAACAAATGAGCTTGATAGTGGACTGAGGCATAACTGTTGGAAATGGACAACAGTCTTCGCTAGTCACAAGGTCACTGAGATCAAACATTATTTAAAATAATTGAGTGAGCTCCAAAGGCCTATAATTCATCGAGATCACTGGGTCCATTTATTTCCTTTAGTACAATAAATATTTATTTTTCTTTTAGTCTAATCATTTAAAAAGTTTAAGTAAACAAAATTCTGGATAATCAAGTCTATTTTTTTCCCTTGATGAGTCCACTTCATGTGAACTTGACATAATGAGTGTTTCCAGTTCACTGATGAAAAGACTGACCTTCCTGGAGTTTAGATGCTTTTAAAGATTCCACCGTGGTAACATGAAGGTATGTAAGTTCACACCTCCTCAGCCTCTGTATTTTCCCTCAGCTATGTCACTTCCTATCAAGTTTTAAAAAAAATTCCCTAGGCATTATGTAACAAGTGACTTGTGCTCTAATCATATTTTTTTAATTGATATACAAAATGAAGGGGGAAATTATACTACAGTAAACATAATGAAAACGCACAAGGAAAGCCATCAACAAAACAGGTTTATTAATATTTATGGTCTCCAATTTGAGGGGACCCAATCTCATTGTCTCTCAAAAAAATTTGATATATAATTTGAAGAAAGTATCTGTACCTTTGGGAAACTAAAAATATTTGAAAATAATGAAATCCTCTGAGAGTGATTGATGGACTCACAGGTCATTGCGGGTTAATTGAAAAAATTCACTTTTAAGTTGCTTGGACCTCAAAAGAGAGCAACTGGAGGAAAGTTAGGAGACAGACACTATTCTGTGGAAGGTGAGAAAGGACCCTGAGTGAGGGCTCTCCCGGACAGCAGGACCCAGGCATGGCTGCCTTTGGACAGGGCGGGGTGGAGATGGAAAAAGGGGAGTCAAACAGAACACAGCGGGGCACGCGTGTAACTTCTGGGGAAATGACTGGGTGTTTGAAAGGGAAGCTGGAGGGGGCAGAGAGCAGGGACTTGCAGCCACAGAGAAATGAAAAACTGCCAAGTGCCCAGACAGCAGCTGGGCCCCGTTACGTCCTCCTCCTAGAGAGACGTCCAAGTTTATCTTCCTACAGAGCCTGGGGGTAGGGGAGCCAGGGCGGATTTGCCAGAGACAGAGTGGGGAGCAGAGCAGGCAG